TGTGTGTGTGTGTGTGTGTAAAGCTTAAGTTTTGGATCAGTAAATATTATCTATTGGTGTTAGTATGTGATATCTGATCAGAACAGTCTCCTCAGGAACTTGGTGACATGTCTGTCTGTGTCGATGGATGGGACACTCCTCGCCTCTGGGTCACATGATGAGACTGTCAGACTCTGGGATGTTCAGAGTAAACAGAGCATCCGCTGCCTTGCCCACAAAGGTAAGCCCTGCCTATTATTATGACATCATCAGACTGATGACTGAACCTAGGTTGACTCCACCCCAGGTTGGCTTCAACCTGGGCTAACTCGAACCTGGATTGAAAAGCCCTCTAACACCTTAACTATAAAAGGCATCCAGCTCCTTCACAATAAAAGTACAGGACTCAACTTGTGATGACTCTAAAAGTCATCTCGCAGTGATCATGACCCTTCATAATGAACCAAATCCTGTCTGTGCTGGAGATTGTCAGACCTTCAGTGCACCGTCAGGAGTGATATTATAGTCTCTCTTTTGGCTGGGCTGATGGACTCGTCCCACACCTCCGTCACTTTGTCAGATTCAGCTGCCGACGCCTTTGACAATGAAACCATCCAGAATGTTAAAGAAGCTTCATCCTCAGTGATGAAATGATCTGTCAACAGATTCATCTGATATCACTTCCTGTCTTTGTTCAGGTCCAGTGACCAATGTCTTCATCACGGCGGCTCCAGCGAATATGTTCCTGCCCGACAGTCGACCCGTTGTTCCTCTGCCGCGCTTCAGCCGACACCTGCATGCTTCCGAGGGCGATGGTGGGGAATCAGGAGACGTTTGTGTCCGACTCGCTCCCTGCACACAGGTGAGTCCCCTCACACTGATACTGGACAGCTTCTTTATTTATGTGATCATTTAAATCAGATCTTTCATTTTTAATTCACACTTGGCACCTTTATTTCGAAAATATGTTTCATCTTTCTTTTCTATCTGCCTTTATTTTGGCGTTTTCAGGAAGAGGAAGAGACATACCTGCAGAAAGCTGATAGGCTGAGCTCACTGATGAATGCTGTGACTGACAAGGTGAGAGATGGCGCTTAAACCTGAATGTTTCCCTGTGGATCCAGTAAGTGAAGTTTTACCAGAACCTTTTGTTTTTTGGGGGGGTTAGCCTCCTGGGCCCTTTACTACGAAGCAGGATTTGTGGTTATCAGGTGTTATTGAGTCCTACGAAGCTCGTTCCCTTGTTATCGGGGTAAATCACCATAGTAAGTTATGCTGAACAGTTAAACTGCTCCAGGTTAAGTTCTTCACACATTTTGTTAGTAAACAACAGATTCAGATTTCGTGGCCCTGAGTTATTTATCTTGTTCATACATGTTATCTCTTGGTCACATAATGTATGTTTTACCAAATATCACCAGGTGGTGCTGTAACATAACATTGACACAATCCCAGATGTTTTACCAGCTGTTCTTCCTGCATTTAGGAGCTGGAACTGTTTCTTTTATTCTGGATGTTTGTTATCCTCTGATTTTTATTATTCAGTTGTTTGATCCTCTGATTTTTACTATTCAATTGTTTGATCCTCTGCTGTCAGTCAAACTGTCAATGTCTGTGATTGGTCATATGCAGTAAAACCTGAATGTGATTATTAGGTTAAGTTCAGCTGGATAACTGACAGAGATCATGGATATGTTGAACTAGCTTCATAGTCCAGGTCCCCAAACTTCAGAATAAAAGTGTCTGTGTATTTGTTTTAGTCGGTGTTCGGTGATGGAGAAAACACAAAGGTTCGTGTTGCAGAGTTGGAAGAAGAAGTTCAGACTCTGAAGAAAATCAACAAAGATCTTTACGACTTCTCGAGTCAACTCATCACAAAACCAACATAAAATCACACAGAAGCTCTTTTCAGAATTGTTTTCTTCATCCTGAGATTTTTTTTAAAATTAGTATTTCTTTGTCTGATGCGTGTTAGTAGCGTCATCAACCCCCCCACTCGCTGTGGTCAATCCAGCAAGGGATCCCCTGATGTGTTCGCACATTGACTCTGGATTTTCGGCAGAGTTCATACTAGGGGGCCAGAACATAAACATAATGTCTGGAGGCTCTCAATTCACCTCCTCCAGAGAAACAAAGTTCAGGGCAGGTCTGGAAGCACATTTCAACACACACATATGCACACACGTCATTGTCTGTTTCAAAATAAAAGCCCCCTTTTTAACTTCCTGTCTGTTGTATTTCTTGTTGAGAGGTTTGAACTAGTTTGTGGGAGTTAGAGTTAGGATAAGGGATGATAACCACACTGGGGTTAGGGTGTTAGGGGTTAGGGTTAGGGTTAGGATACAGGATGATAACCACACTGAGGTGGGCCCTTCTTGAATAACTTTTTTGACTCCCCATTATAAGCGAATGTTGCGGTCAGAAGTGTGGAGGTGAAAATCGTTCCTCCTGAATATATTATAAATGTTATCATTATATACTGTTATTATTAT